ATACTCCACAAATTAAGCCCTTTCAAATGATGTCAAGGAATTTGTGACCTTAACAGTGATTCATAGCTTTAAATTGTTTTTTTTTTTAACTTTCACTTTAACTTTTGAACCTTGAGAGATTAAGTTTTCATATTTGGTGTGCAGACTCCACTGATCAAACTTTTTCAAATGACACCAAGGTCAATCACCTTGTGACCATGATTGTGACCTTTATGCTAAATATCTCTTTTCCCGAATTTTGTTGTCGCTGGTCGCATAATGTTTCACATACACATCTTATTCTTTCATTTCTTTGTACCATTAATTTTTTGTTACCAGAAGTTAGGTTCAGGACACACAAACAAAAGTTTGTTCCAATGGAGAGAAATTTTGTAAATTGTTATACTTAAATCTGGCAGAGAGAAAGCATTTTCTGATCAAACTGAAAGCTTGAAATCATGATTATCCATTACAGAGGTTCACTCTAAAAAAAAGATAACAAGGACTGACAAGGCAACTTTCTTTTTTTGTTTCTTAATTTGAAAGGTGGTGTTGCAGAAAAACATATCATTTAAACTTGTGATACTTTGTAAGAAAATGAAGTCATAATTCAATTCATTCCAATGTTTATTGACTGTACTTAAAGATAACTATGTATAACATGGACTAGAAAAATTTGTTGGCAGTAAACATAATTGCTAGCATGTGCAACAGAAGTTTTTCAAAAAAGGGATTACCAGTATTAACATGTAAATACATATATATATCTTTAAAAAACATAAAAGGTATATAAAATAATGTAGCAGAAAACATTGTCAGTTCTGTATCAAAGAATCAGCAAAAATATATTTTTTAAAATTATACCGTTATGATCTGGATATTTTTATGTCAATTTTGTTTTGTGAATGTGGGGCAATATGTTGTTTTTAATTTTTGAGTTCCAATATTTTGCCAATGATCACTCCTTTGTTTACATTTTCTTACTGTTTAATGATTTGAAGCAAATTATATTATAGTGAGTGTAATGAACTCACATAATTGCTAAAATGTATCAATAGCAGAAATATCCAGATTTACGGTATTCAGTAAAACATTATCAATAGCACTATAGTAATAGTGTATGGGCAAGGCAATTGAACATAAATGTTGTAGAATGTAACACATAAATGGCACAGCACATTATTAGTACTTACAAAGAAGTAACACCATTGGCTTTTATGTAAGTGAGAACATGTCTCTGATTGGCAGGATGTTTGAAAATTGGCACAAAATGCATAATAATATAAAACAAATACAATTCTAAGTTCTACATATCTACACTAAAAATGTCTAAATGTACTGACAAAATTAGAAAAAAAAAAGAAAACAATAAAAATTACATACAAGTTAACAGAGTGTTTAGAACAATGTATTTATAAAATGTTTCTCAAAAGCTGCAATGCATTTGATTGAGATGCCAGAGTTTGAATTTAAACAAACCTATGTTTACAAGCACAAAGCAAAGATATACTAGTACTGAAGATTGTAAAGAGAAACTTATACAAATAGCAATATTTGTACATACATTCCAATGTTATCATTAACTTAACAAATGTGTAAAGTGATTGGATGGTGAACACAGTAGGTAACCTGTACACAAAATAAAATTAACCACATTTGAAACAGCTATGTACATGTTTATCAGTATCATCCAAACATGTCCAAGTGTACAGAAATATACAAGTAATACAAAATAATAATAATAATGAAACATGGGTATACAACTGATATTGTTATCACAAATGAATGAGTAAAATGGTCCCTGATTAGTAGCAGTACTTATCATAAGCACTAGAATCCCTTTATATCAATGTTGTTGTAATATATTTAACATCTAAAAAAAGGAAAGGAACACTGAACATATAGAATGTGGTGGAAATATATACATTATGCTGAATAATAGCTAAACTAAGTAACCATAATGGTTAAACTTCATAGCTAAACAAAACAACAAATATCCTTGAGTATCATCATGTGAAAAAATAACAAAATTACATAAAGAAGAGGATATGAACAAGTCGGTATGCATGCAGGCTAACATCTCTAAGGAAAATGCTAAGATCACATGTATGTAAACTGAGGTAAAAAAAAAACCCTGAGTAGGTAAACAAGTCATGATGATACAATGCTCTATATACATTAAATATATACATCTTCTCAATGGACTTGTCACATTAATTCAGCAAGAAGGTTACAACTGTGGTTAAAGGAATAGGAACAAAAAACAGTGTACTAATCTTGTATGAATGGATTTAAAATGGAAAATGTCAAAGATTATATATAGTATGAAACTTAAGTAATGTACAATACGGTATACCTGTTATTTATTTTTTCACAGGAAATAAGAACATACAAGTTTATTTATCAAGAAATGTTGTTTTAACATTTAAGGAAGACCTAGCGTACTGTTTGTAGCACATGATGTCAGTGACATATAGGAGATACAAGAAATCTGTTGTACGAAATATTTTAACAATGAATATATGGTACATAAAGGCTGAAGAATTTGTACTTTTGTGAAAAGTTAGCAATAAACATTGTTGATGGATAAATTAAATGATGGCAATATAGAACAGTTTGATTTGCTTAAAATGGCATATCGAGATAAAAAGGTAACAAATACACAACCACACAAGAACACATCAATGGTATTTACAAATCAGATATGTTGAGAGAAGCATAATTTAATACAAGTTAGGTTGTAATGTGAACAGTCTATATACATGTACATCATGCATTTTGAATTGTTCAATGAAAAATCCCAATTCTTCTCAAGTTTAAAAATCACTAATAAATCTGTTGTAAAATAAAAACAGTTAAAAATACAAGGGGAATAATGGGGTAAACAACTTCATTATAAAACTAAATGAATTACACTTGAAAGCAATTCTTCGGCTGGAAACTGTTTTGAAGAAAGTTATGTGTCTAGTAAATACCTCCACCCCAATTCTAATCAAATGAACTTCCTTGTTAACTGCAGTACAAGTTACAAATGAAAAGGAAGAATACAGAAATGTCAGGAAACTTCACAGGGTTTTGGAAAGGAAGATCTATATTGACAGGACAGAGAGCACATTTATTTGGATTTGCCGACGGAGATGATCTTTTCCACTGTCGAGTCTTTGAATACAAAAGAGCACTGGAGTGGAAGTTTCTTTTCCATCTCGCTCTCCAAGTTTTCGAGAGTGCAATCCAATGCTTTGGACATCATTTCAAGAGGTACATCATAAGTTAGGTAGTCATCCTTTACATTCATGAGGAGGGAGATGTGTAGTTCTGCTTTATGAAATCCGATGACGGATCCCTGAACCTTTACTACTGGCGGCTCACATTCCTGGAACAGAGAAGAATACTTTAAAATAATAGACTCAATGAGCATTATTTTATTTAATAGACTCAATGAGCATTATTTTATTTAAGAATTGCTTGTAATTTTTGAAAGCAGTACATTATATAATAGAATAATAGTATATTAATAGAAAGAGTGTATTTTTATTGTTGCAATACATTAAACAGGGATAAAATAAAGACACAAAGTGCCAGTGATGGAACAATTTAGCTCATTTAACCCCCCAACCCCCTCTTTAAAATGATAGGAATGAAAATAACTTAGCTGGAAGACTTAAATATTATAGGCGCGTTTGCTATAATAATATGGTTTTACTGTAAATAGATACCATTTTGTATCATATGATTTATTACATAAATGCCTTTGAAACAAGTTTATGAATTAAAATTGGGAGTACAATCTTACTTCAAGAACACTCTTAGAAGTCGTTGACACAGAGATCTCTTCATTGAAGCTGGTCACAACAACATTGGTTATAGACAAGTATTTCCCAACAATGGATGAGTCACTCAAGTCCCTCCACAGGGAAACTTTAATGCTGTCAGTGTCGTCTTTGAGAGAGACACTCTTTACAGAGACATCCACTCCCTTCACCTTCACAGTTTTGGTCATATCCTCCTTAAATGAGAAAAATCAGATTAGGACATAAGAATATGCTAATTTAAAAAGCAGGGTAGTTGACAATATAATAAAACAATTTGTTTAATTAAGGATGTGTATCCAATATTTCACAGTTATTCTGCATAGGAATTAAGCTAAAATGACTGACTATATGTTAAAATCTGTAAGAGTAGTACATATGAAATTAGAGTTATTTAAGTTAATACGGGTACTTACAGACACAATTCTGCCCTTGACAGAGACCAGGGACTTTACTGGTGATGTCTTGATGTCCTTAATGGGACGAGTCATAGCAGGTGGTGGATTTGCAATCCTCGCACCTTTCTCCATAGTTGCATGTGGAACCTCCATGGCTCCTGTTTTCATGACTTTTGTGTTTTTGGTAATAATGACTGTCGGTTCATTTTCATTCTTGTAGATGTAATTCATCAGAATCACGGTGTTGTCTGCAGTCAGGGATTTGAGTTTCGTGGTGTCATATACAGTGCCCTTCATGGCATCTGTTGAATCAGCTAGTCCAACTGTGGCACATTCCTTTTTTTCTCCATTGTCTGTTTGATACCTTTGAATAGTACCAACTCCACACACTTTCACTTTAAGGGGTTGCGAGTAGGGTTTATTTCCCTTGCTCTCTCTCTCAGTTTAGCAACTGTTAGCATCTGTAATAAAAGAAAAAAAACATGATTTGTTTTTTATGTTACAGGAAATTATCAGCTTATTATTATTTCTTTATTTTTAAATGAAAATTTCAAATATTCAATTAATTAAGAAAAATAAGTACCCTAAATAATGCTGTCAAATCACTTTAAATTTGGATGGGTGTGAAATAGTAGCAAGAAAAGTGAATTATTAGGTACAGTTTGTATATCATACAGGCAGTATGATGTTGAAGGTGAAATACACAATAATACATTTGTATTGCTACATTATTTATGTTTATTCATTCTAATTAGGGTCAGTCGAGTGTCCCTCTTTTTAAGGACCAGGATTAGAATTTAAGAACTGAGTGAATTTATGTCAGTGCAATATACAGGGGCTTATGATCTGAAAAGTAAGCCTCAAGTGTCCCCCAACTTTGAATTTGAGTTTCAGGAATGTTTGTGTATATGTGATCAAGTGCAGATTCATAGTCAGTTGTGGAACCTGTAGGTAGGTATCTTAAATTGAAGTGGGACATGAATTCAATGATGTTTCCTGCTTGTGATGAAAGATTGTCAGCATTGAAGTCTCCAGTCAATACAACATGGTTGGAATCTTTCAAACAGTCTTGAAACATATTTTGAAGCATGTTTTTCACAGTTTTCAGATTGGCCTTTGGTGGGATATACAAAAACATAAATAACAATAACTTTCCGCTGCGAATTTCAATAAGCAAGGAAAAGATTTGAATATTCTGTTCTCCTCTTTTGGTGATTTTTTGAACAGTTAATGATTCCTTCACATAAAAAGCAAGACCATATGATGGTCGTTGGTTGCTATGTTGTGGAGAATCAAACCTATACATTGTATATCCTGGCAAAGAAAGTGTGTCAGCATCATCAGTTTCGATAAGTCTTGTTTCAGAAATTGCTAATACGTCTGAACTCATAAGGTTGAAATCCTTCTCCAAATCATCCTTGTGCTTATGAAGTGATCTTATGTTGAATGATGTTAAAACTGTAGATTGAGGGTCCTTTCTACCCAAATTATCAATACACATTTCCATCTTTCCCTCACATCTAAGCCTGTTCATCTCTTCTAACACAGCTGGTGACAGTGAAATCTTTTTTTCATTCAAATTTGTGATGTGTAGGTTCTCAATATGTGTAACCCTACTGAGTCCCACATAATGCATATGGTCATTTTTTCTTGTTCCAAAATTTATAACTGCAGACTTCATAGTTGAGCCTTGTGCTTTGTGAATAGTTTTGGCAGCCCCTAACCTTAGAGGAAACTGTCTTCGTTTAACATGATATGTACCATTCATCTGAATTTGAAATTGCCTTGTTATTTCTAATATCGGTGTCCAAGTTTTTTCAATTTCACCTTTGAATAGTCTTGCATATTCCTTGCGCAACTCCTTCCCAATGTTTTCATCATCAAATTGCACCCAAACGATGCTACACCTTGTTGATCCTTGCACGCGATAATCAAAGAGTTTAACTGTACATGATGCACCATTTGTGATTCCATCTTGAACATTAACATTATTGGTTATTTCAGCTGGAACTCCAATAACCAAACACAATACAGATGATAACCCCAGTGTTCTGGCAGAATCATCAGGAACTCTTGCTAACACTTTGGATTTTACAGCTTCTTCAGATGCTCCAATAACCCAGTCTATAGCATTTACACTGATTTTCTGCAAATCATCTGCCATGTCATATATTTTGTTATTGTATGACTGTACTTCATTTCTTGTGGTAAACAAATGGGGTATATTTTGTGTATCTGCAGTCTCAGACTTCACACATTGATATAGTACAGTAATGTCTTGTTCTGTTTGATTTCCTTCTCGCAATCTATTCAGTAATTCAGCAAATATCCTGTCATCCCTTTGGCGCATAATTATGGTTAATTCAAACAGTTTGAAATTGTCTCTCCACAAATTTGCTGCCAATGGACCATACTCTTTATTAGGCTGAGAAAAAATCCAACCATCCATGACAGGTTTCAGCTGAAACAGGTCGCCTACTGCAACAACACTTAGTCCTCCAAAGGGCAATGTGCATCCTTTAATTTCTTGCAGTCTAAGGTTTACAAAGTTAAACATGCCATGACCAACCATGGAAATTTCATCTATGAAGATTACCTTTAGGTTCATGTATCGAGTACGCATAGTATTCAATTGTTGCATGTCTAATGGTTTGTAAGCAAATCCTCTACCGACTGGAATGCAGAATGCTGCATGAATTGTAGACCCATTTATGTTATGAGCTGCCTTTCCAGTTGGTGCACAGAGAAGAACATGCAAATTGTCTGGATTTTCATGAACTTGGTGAGAATAAAATTTTAGCAAGGCTTGATAAAGGGCTCGTGTTAGAACGCTCTTTCCAACTCCTGCTCCACCAGACAAAAAAGCGTACAAAGGCTCTTTCTTGGTTTTCAGCCAGTGTAACACATGATAAAAGAATTCCCTTTGCTGTTGATTAAGGTTTCTTAACATTTCCCTGTATGGTATGTCCTCCATTTCCCCCATTTGGGAAATTTCCTCATCCAGATTTTTCCGTTGAATTCCAAGCTCTAGGCCTATGTCATAATCTGGTGCATGTTTTCCAGGATCAAAACAACCCCATTTACTTGAAAGTGTTGATCCTTCTTCTCTATCCATTTCTTCCTCATGTTCTTTTGCTGGTGCAATAAAATCTGTACACAAATCCTCTGCATCTACATTTAAAAGCACCTTTTCTATATCATTCAAAGCCTTTCCCCCTTGCTGATACTCAGAAAGCTTCTGTTGAATTTGAATTTCACAAGCTCTGTATCTTGCTTCAAAAGACTCGTATTTACTGATCAAATCTTTTTCTTCATTTCTCCATGGAGTAAATAACATTAGAAGTTCACGATAATGTTTCTCGCTGTCTGTTTCAACATCAAAATTTACCCATCTTAAAACCATGGTTTTTTTTCTTTTGACAATTTCTGTACCATTTCTGAACATGTAACTCTGAGCAAATACACATGAATCTATTGTGACAGATATTGCATCATCAGAAGTCTCTTCATCTGGCTCATTTTCAGGCAATTCTTCTGAAGTGTTCTGTTTGATTTTCTCCTTGTGATACTTTACATGAAACCAAGAGACAAAATCAGCAAGACAGATTCCTTCAAGAGCTTTTGGGCGTTGTTGATACAGTTTTGTGATATTGCCAGCTTCAATATCTGTACTGCCCTCTTTCAGCTCTTCTAAAACATGTCTAGGTTTCAATAACACAACACGTTCATCTATCGGAGCAGTACTAATAAAAGTCACAGACCTTGATGTATGGCGCAATGGCATTTGAAGTACTAGATATACTGCTTCTTGAGCACCTATCTCAACGTGAGAAAGAAACTTGTTTCCTATACGCCTCACTTGTTGGCGAATATCAGAGTCATTCTGTCTTGCTTCTTCACAGGCATGTCGCAGCAGGTTGGACATTCCTCTCTGACCTTTAGAAATGTAGGACACTATGTAAGTAGCACACGCATATGCATCTAAAATGAACTGAATGTCCATATTTGCTTGCCAGCTCTGAAGAAGAACAGTATTGTAAGCATTAATTCTCACTTCATTGGGTTTTCGCTTCAAAAAAACTTTTTCTTGTTTCAAAGTTGATCTGACTGCCCTGATGTAGCACTCTTCATTCATTTGCAATTCTAATAAAAAGTCTTGAAAAGTCATTTCAATTTCAGACTCTCTAAACTTTGATGAATTGAGGTAATCTACAATTTTCTGGTAAGACATTGCAGCTGTTGAGAAATGTTCATCATCATCATCTAGTGGTGTCAGTACAACAGTTTGAGACATTGGGGGTATGGGGAACTGAAATCTACATATTGGTTTATTCTTTTTCATACAAGTCCTTGCATGACGATGTGTCTGGTAATTTATCAGGAAGTCATCTGCCCCATGCTTTTCACAAGTTGCGTACTTGTCAATGAATTGAGCTACTTCTTTGTACGAGTGGGTTTGAACAGATGGAGCATCTTTAATCCACAGAAGCATATGCACATGAGGAGAGCCTCTCTGCTGGAACTCAATCCTGTAGAAGAAGTCTTCAATAAAGCCTACAGGGTTTGTTTTGTGACTCAATACTTCTGCAAAGAATTTGTTGAATCTGAAGTCAAAATATCTTGTACATGTTACTGGGTCAGACTTTATGAGTTTACTTTTGTGTTCCCAGCTCATTTCTTTGATTTCCTCTTCCGTGTAGGTCACATTATCAATAAGCTCTCCTAGTGTTTTAAGTAAGGGTGTCCATTTTGTTTCCGCTGCAGAAAATGAACAGAACCAAGTGGGTAAACCCAGCTGCCTGATCATAGCGAAAATGTCCTTTTTTGCTTTTTCCCAGTAAGGAGGTGATCCTCACAGATTTCGAAGAACATGAAAGCCTTCATTCAAACGAACAATAGAATCTGCTGTCTGTGAGTCAAGTATTTGTGCGACAGTGTATTTTTTACCCTGTAGTTTGCACTTTCGAATAGCCAACATGACCTTGTCCTGGATTTGCTTGATTTGAATTCTTTTCAACTTGTAAAATAGATTTGGTATACACTGTGCACATCTCCTATCTACATTTCGTAACTCCCATTTGCAAATAGTACTGTAATGCAGAGGTACTGTTCTTGATTTGTTGTCTGGTCGTGCTTCACCACAATAGATGGTTGGAAATGATAAGAATTCTGCATTTTTATCTTGAAATATACTAAGGGGGCTAAAGTTTTCACCAGGGGCAACACTCAAAACCTGATTAAATTCACGGAAGTCAATACTTTGCATTAGAGTGTCCGTATTGCCTGTCGGCCTATCATCCACACTACCTTCTTCTATCCAAGCGTCTGTGATGGTTTTTTCTCCTGAATTTGTGTTCAGTGTTGCATTTAAATCATTTTCCCCATCTGAATCAGTATCTTGGCAATCCCAGGATTCATTCAATTCTATACCTTCTGCTTTGAATAAAGTACTATTTTGTATCAACCATTGTGTAGCTGCAAGGACTTTCTTTGGGCGTATTCTTTCAAAAGCCATAGAATGCTTAAAACTCAAACTTCGCTTGAATTTCAAAGGTATAGTCTCATTTTCACTCAAAGGACGAGGCAATTTTTTAACTGTTGAGGTTACGTCAGCAGGAACATTTACAACATTTCCTGTAATGCTCATTTGGCCACCCCGAGGCTTTTCCCTCAACTGTATAAATGGAATTCTTGGTGCAATGAGCCTTTCTTCAAGAGGAGTAATGTCCAACTCTGGTGGTTTGGCAGGAAATTTTAAACCATTCATAAAAGAACATGGTGGAATTTTCTCTGCTTTCAAATAAGTGTGACAGGTGTTACATATAATATCTTGCTTTTCGATGCCATGCTGATGCAAGAAATATTCATTTATACCTGTTGCTTTCCTGACCGAATGTTTAAACCAAATCTGAGAACAACTTTTACACACAAAAGATGGACCTGTATTAACAGATGAGTGAAATTTCTTTATCACTTCATCATGTTTGTGAGATGAAGAAATACTGTTCTGAGATTGAGACATTTCTGTACAACATGTTTGACACACACTTAATGGTTCAATATTGTTCATTGTTAAGCAACATCTATCCTCTGCTTGTCTGTGGATATATCTTTGTAAAAGTGGCATCATTTCTACTTTTGCAATAGAAACTGTATACAATTCATATGCGCCTTCCTCACACCCAGAGAGCTTTCTCAAAAGAGCTTGTAAATTTGAAAAACCATTCACTGTCAACACTACAGAGTTACCATCAGCATCAACATTTCCATTAGCATCACGTGCATGTGGGTCAAAAACCTGAAAACAACTGCCTGAGGAGAATACAGCAACAGAACTGCCTCTGCATATAAGTATACCTCCATCTTTGGTATTTGCAAAGCACAAATTCAATGCAGTAGCAAGTGAGAGAAAGGGACCATTATCTTTAAAAGTGACTTGTATTTCCCCTGAATAAACTGGTGAAACAGTTACATGAACTAATTCATTTTGAATGCAAACATTTTTTGGTATGTCCTCTGGGTTAAGATATTCATGTTGACATGTTTTTCTTGCATGTTTGTACAAAATGTCACCTATCTTGAGTACAACTTGAACATTATTTGCATCCCAATTTTCAAATTTTTCTTCATTAATTGCATTATAAGCAATGCAAACAAGAGAATTAGCAGTACATTGTTTACCTCTGCTATATTCTGAGAAGAAATCTGATCCCTGATGAAAAGTAGCAGATACACATTTCAATATTACAGGATATTTTCTTGCATTGTGTCTCTGTCTTTTTTGTACAGATTTCAACCTATCTGTTTGATAACTATCAGAATCTTGTAATTTTCTTTTCTTGCTACCCTTCATGTCTCATGAAAACAGTATTACAGCATTTCAAAAAAGTGTTTGTTATATGTATTAAATACTTACATTTCCCCTCTAATCTTATTTCAAATTTAAATTCTTATCTCTGATTCCTAAATTAATTTTGAGACCATCATAATGGCAATTCTTTGCAATTTTCTGATCATTACAAAGTTCCCCTTTCATGAAAATATATTCTAACTTATGAATTAAAAGAAAATATGTTTTCAATTAATTACTGAAGTAAGTTTAGATAAGACTACAAAATAAATATTTTGCTGAAAAAACAAGCAGGAAAAAAGATTTATGTTCCACGTCAAAGATAAACCATTCCAAGAATATTTCCACACTTGAAATATATCTACTCTTGAATGTCAACTCTTGAGATAGTTCTTGTGCCACAGCAATAAAATCGTGATATCAAAAAATGAGATTTCCAAATATCAATTGAGTTCCACTCTTGATTTATAGTAACATATTAAGAAATACTTGTTCAAAAATTTCTGAAAAAATATATCAACTCTTGAATGTCAACTCTTGACATAGTTCAAATATATAAAAGCAATGGAATCTTATTAATAATATTCCAAATATCAACAGAGTTCTACTCTTGAGTTATAGGAACAGAGTAACAAATAAACAAATGCATAATTTCCTTTAAATATATTAACTCTGGAATGCACACGCTTGAGATTATTCATGTGTCAAAGCAATGAAATCTTATTCATATCCAAAAATATTTTTTCCCAAATATTAATGAATCGAGTTCCAGTCTTGAAATCCTCGCTCAGATGTCAATATTTTCGAGTTAATTTACGTTTGGCTTTAAAACAATGGATTCTTGATTTGCAAATTGCACAAAAAGTATGTTTTCCTCTTGAATATGCTAGATTTAATTAAACATTTACAAATACATTACATAGTATTTTCTTGCTGCATGTTTACATAACTATTTTAATCTGTCAATATGGCGCTCAACCCATTCGATGGGCTTGTTGTTTACATACACTTACGTTATTTATACATAAATCACTGCACTAAAAAGGAATACTTAAGAACGAATGTGTAAAATGAACGCATTAGATCGTGAATAATTACCTTGAAGTGATTTGTTGACAGATTATATCAGCTGTTTCAGGCACAATGTTCTTCGACAATCTTCTCCGTGTTGACAAACAAGATAGCGTGGCGCGTATGAATACAGAGAAATAGTGCGCTCTTCAGTGTCAAAATTATAAATACACAGATACTGTTCCTTGAGAAATATTATTTTTCCCATACTAGGCATGTCATTATATGTCATGCAAAATTGCTTAAAGATATACCTGTTTTAAGCGCGGTTAATAGAAGAAAAAAATGAACTATTTTTTGATAATTAGTAAATCGCCTAATTAGCATAATTTTCAGACAGCGAAGGCAGAGCCTTCCCATAATTCCCCTCGATGATGATTTCCCCCCCACGTCTGGTCCCCTGGCTCGTCTTTGAAGTAATTAACTTGCGAATGAATACAACACCAGTGACTTTCTTCTGAAAGACCATTTCTGTTCTTTTAAAGATATTGGGGTGATATATTAATGAATAAGAAATAGTTGTAAAATTCTTTACGAACCCAAACAACAGTCTGTAATTCCTTTAAAGTTATGGACTATGCTTTATATCGAAAGGTTAAGAGTTAAGATTTTATAAACGCTCTATAAACTTCCTAACTTTATTATGTACAGATATGAATCCTACATCATTTTCAAAGCAAATCGCGATAGCTTTTACGATGTATTAGCATATCAGGAGAAACATTTCTTACACTGAAAAGCTAAATGATTTTGTAAATGATGGTGATTAGAGGTGTCCGCCATTACTCTAGACACTGACTTACCGAGGGTGACTTACGTCACCTCGAAAAATATGGTATTCACCATGTTGCGCCGTTTGGTATTTTGGTCGCAAAATGCAGAAATTATATAAAGTAGGTAAAAATAGCTACTTTTGGTAGCTTTAAATACCTAGGTAGCTAATAATAGCTACTTAGGTAGAAATAGTCTTTGGACTGGACCTGTTAAACACTGTTTGATCAGTCTCTGTGGCCTTTGATGTTCTCGTCGTGGATATCGCGGTATAATGTGATTTGTATCCTCAGCGACAACAGGAGATGTAGAATTGCAGATTATTTCTGGTTCATGAGGCTTTGACACAGAATCCCTAGAAGTCGGTTGACAGTTTTTCTGACGGTTCAACTCGATTGTCAGATGATACACTAACAGGCTCAAACGAATTCCGTTTCAATGGTTCGGAGTTGTTTAACGCGCACTGAACATTCAATTCACGAATTTGGTCGAGATGTCGTTTCCACTGCATACCTCTGACATTCACACGGTATGTGATAGCTGCAGATCTGTAGCTATCCGGAAAAATATATATTGATAGACCGGTTTTCGATTTATTTCTCCAAAATCCTAAAACTGAAATCTCATAATATTACTAACCGTGTGTTCCTAACATATTCTTCGCTTCTTTCCACAATAAAACATTCATCATAATTATTTTTAATGGTCCTCCTGACCCTGATAGTGTAATCATCGAATGTTTCGATTATTTATACTGCCATTTTGGTTTCAAAGATAATTCGGTCCAAAATGCTTCGTTCAGATGTCAACTACGAATGTAATTAGGGCCCCGCAAGAATTTGCGGGTGCCCTATAGTAATCACTCTGTCTGTCCGTCCGTCCGTCCGTCTGTCTGTCTGTCTGTCTGTTCGTCTGTCACTCTTCCGTCCACAAATTTTCTGTTTTTTTCTAATATCTTTTTTTATGGTTGCCCAATCATGTTCAAATTTGGTATGGTGGTTCAGTAGGCAGAAATACATATTTTGATGCTTAGTTTGGTTCTCTATGTCCTCTGGTTTGGAGCTGGGGTGGTGGGGTAGATTCCTTAACTATGCATAAGAATGAATGGACAACTT